AGACAGTGACAGAATGTTAATTCTCAGATTCTGTGGTATGCTGAGAGTTGTAGTTGAATAACAGTTTGCAAGCCACAGGTTGTTAATGGGTTTTTGAGAAGCATGTAAACACAGACTTAGTTTACCTGCTTTACATTTTCACTAATAAAGATTGTAAATCTCCACACAAGGCCGCTTAGCGATATTTATATCTGCCACTCCGGCCCTCTCCTATGTTTCGTTGCTTGCTACTTGTTTCGCTATACATGGTCTTGTTCACTGTGGCAAGAGAAGGCATTACATGGCTTAGTAGGCAAGGGAGTAATCTGATTAATGTTTGAAAATATTTTGAGTCGATTGCACCTGTGTTTTGGGTTTGTGCGGATGTAGTGAACTCTGCAATTGATAATTCTACCGAAATAAAGATTTGTGATGTCTTTGATACGATATGACAGCATTATCATTATGGCAGGCTCATTATAGACGATTGATTGTTTATTGTGAGAGTACAGCAACATTCGCCACAAGAGGTGCAACTTTGAGAGGCCTCTCCACTCATGATAACATTTGTTCCTTCCACTTGTGAGGTTACCTGAGGTCAGCAAGAGCTTGTTGTTTATATGGATTATGTGATGAACGTTACTACTTTAAAACACATCTAGTGGGAAGAAGGGATCAGGAAAAAGAGGGGAGGTGATCGCTTGTACTGATATTGTAAAAAGAGGATTTTTGCTTCTTCCATGATAATCATTTAACAAACATTTACTATGGATCATCCACTACAATGTACTATGTAGTGTACATTTTTAAAAAAATGTTTACAACCCATTTCTCAAGATTTGAATATATGTAAATGTTTTGGTTTCTGAAAATATTTATGTCAGAACAGAAACCCCCATAAATTCATAAGACATGCATGCCGTATGATAATATAGAACAAAAAATCTCTTTTCTCAGTCTGAGCTCGGTGTCCTGTTCAGGCTGTTTGGGCTGTTGGCTTTCAGGAATCTTACCAGGGTCCCGGGAACAGTAAGGGGCTTAGAGTCATGTCATTTTTGCAGTGCCGTGCAGTGGATTAATATCCAATCAGGCTTAGAGGAGTTAAAAAAAATCCCCTGAACGTGGCCATACTTGACCACAAGTAAAAAGGACTTTTAGTAAATCAGGCCAAAAATACTTCAGTGTAATGGATAATGCTCACCAATTATTTCAATGTATCATTAAATGTTGAGTGATATTTTGTTTTTTTGGGTGAACATTTTACGCCAGCTCTGTGAATTTGCACTTATTTTGAAAGCCCATTATGTTTTTTTGGCCTATTTTTTATTATTCCCATATTTACACAACCCCGATTCAGTCTTTGAGATGACCATTGCTTTGCAGATGTGAGTTGTTAATGACCTTTTGTAAATCCCCTCCTCATATATGATCATGTGGAATCAATATGAAAGGTGTGCGTTGAAATGGTAGACTCAATTTTTAGAACTTAATGTTCATTATTTTCACAACAGGCAAATATATAGTGCCGCTTGCTGATGTAAACGTTGTATGGTGGGAAATAAAATAGGTTAGAGAGTTTATGGTGTGAAGCAGTGTTTTTGATAGATGGAGCATTACCCTCAGTGTTCTCTTGTAAGGTTATTTTGTGCCATAATACTGAT